CGACTGCCAGCCAGATCGGTAGTCGTTGCTGCAACCGCACAGAGTCCATCGAGGAAATGGAGCCCGGTCCGTTGACTTACACCGTATCCCCGGTCGCCTTTCACGCAGACGACTGCACCCTCTATTCGTTGATTTCCTACGATAGGATTGCCCATCTGCCAGACTGTATAGGAGTGAATAGCGTCCAACCGTCGGGAGACGCACTGTATGACGCGGAGGCTGAGGAGGAGGAAGAGTTGGTATTCCACAAGTGCTGCTCCCCGACAGTCAGCCCGCAGCCCTATATCCGGTCACCGAAGGAGTCGACCTCTATCTACCACATCAGTCCTTTGCCTTTGCTGACTACACAGACGGCAGTAGAGACTAATGTTATGAACGATAAGCCTGATGATTGGGCATCCCTGACACCGCCAATGGAAGAGCAGGAGCAGGTGTTTGTATTGCAAGTGACGGATCGACTTGAACTCTCGCTCCAGCAAGGATGTGCGGTTCGTAGCGACTTTGCAATTGTACGAGTCGGCACCCTGCGTGATCTTATCGCTCCGATCGCCCAGGTGAATACCTTTAAAATTATGTTCCTTTTTTAGCAACCTTTCCTGCGTCTTCGCCTACTTCTAGTAATTATTATTGGGTGCGAATTTCTACGACAGCATAAACCTTGAAGGCACAGTATGGGCCAAGGCTTATCTAACATCGATAGCAGTGGTGTTGGAAAGCTGATAGACATAGAACATAATTCGAATCTAATTTGCTTTCTGAAGTTTTTCCATTTCTGTATTTCTAATTATTCCACACATACTCCCATCGACCCCCCCTAACGAATCCTCAGTACCTACTTTGAGCACGTTTCATTGAATCTGTGAGGCTCTTTGAATGCCACTTATTCTACAAAGTATCTACATGAAAATCGGCTAGATCATGAATATAAGCGAATTTTCGAGTTCTGGAGAACTCAAACAGAAACGCTGCCGAGGATATCTCGTGTCCTATCATACAGCAGGGTGTTTTAGTGGTGACCAAGTGCATTGCAACGCGACTAAGAGCTGGAATTACGCACCGGCCAAAATCTAACATGTGCAAAAAGCCATGCAAATTAGGGCATCGTTTATCTTATCTCGCGCCAAATTTGTCCTTTAACAAACTGAACAAATGCTTATATCGCGCCTACGGGATAACAAATCACCATATGTAGCTGTCATTCCTACGAAAAAGCTCAAGGGTTCAACTTCGTAGGCTTCAGGATAAAATCCCATACCGGTAGCAAGAAAAGCTAATAGTTGGTTGTAACCCGAGCCTTGAAAGATAACTCAGGCAATCGATCTGGCGCCTGCATACAGAGCCCTAAACAGTTACCAGCAAACTTGTGGCGCTGCTAATTCATCGACTTATGTCGCCCTTGTCCTGTTCCTACCTTCATTTCTGACGACGGACTCCTGCGCGAATTTGAAGGCTCATAAGCGAAAGGCTCCGGTACTCGACCATTTTCCTTATTTCTTACTCGTCAAATTACTTTTCGTTGAAACTAAACGGTTATTAGAAGCATGTACGAACAGACCACACAGAATTGCGGTAATCGTCCCTGACAGTTCATTTGCCAAACTTACCAGAGACCATCACTCATTCAGAAAGGACACTGTTCAGGCTTGCGACTTTCTTAGTGTCTACCTAACTGCCTCCTATCGCACGCTCCGTAAACTACGTCGAAACGATCGGTTAAGAGTCTGGTCATAGTATCTGAGTAAATACTGCGCCATGTCATGTGGCGTATGCCTAGGTCACCTGCCACGCATGAATAAAATCTTAATCGAGCACGCGTCCAAACGTCTTGTCCGTTGGACCCGACACTGCCATGTATTTTACCCGTTCCAAACACAATTGCGCACGGTGGGGTCCATAACTACATTATTCCTGGCTTCATTAAAACTGACAGTCTACACATTTTCGTTATCCTTAAATAGGTTTCACAATACTGAGCGGTATTTGAAGCTCGTGTTGATAACAACCATGTGAATTATCGGTACTCCCGCTTGAAGGCATAAGTCACGCAGCAGTATATGTAGACGGAAAATTCGCTTTCCACGACATGCTTATCTTTCACAAGAACTCAAAGTCAATAGCAAATATAAACCACTTAAGTCTGTTTTTAGAAGTAAGACTATTTTGGATACATGGAGAACTTTCAAAGTAGAACTGGTAGGCCTACGATTGTACGCCTATCTTT